GCACAAAAAATAAATTTGTATTAATCCACCGATATTTCAGGGTTAATCTTTATCACAGCAGAGTTTAGACAATCCTGACCAATACAATTCCTACCATGGTTTCTAGTATTTAGTAAGTGCTTAGTATGTAGCTCCTTGAAGAATCAACAGGGAGGGCTGAGACCACTATAAAAACACTTAAATCTAGATATGGCTTATAAAGGAAAAAAAAAAAAAAACAGTTGTCTTGATTTATTAAAAAAATCAATTTCTGCATATTAAGTACATAGAAACTATATATCATGACTGCAAATAGACGACTAAGGAAAAGACAGGTCATGTTCATGTAAAAAGATTTTTACCACAATAAAGTAGCCCCTATATGTTAGGTTCAAAATGAATGAAGAGAGTAATTTGGTTGGAAGGGAATGGATCTGTGATATTTCCTCTTCTCATTTCTGCTTCTTATCTAAATGGCATATCATGTCATAGTTCAAGCTACTTTGTGACAAAAAAGGATGGCACTTTCCTTGAAGCCACCATCATCTGCCACTTTCAGCGTGGTTCTAGAAAGCAGGAGAGATCCAAGTTCTCACCTCACTCTGGTAGGGAGTATTTGCATGACTGTGACCTCTACATAGACTTTCTCTTCCTCTATTTGTCTTCTGGTGAAGTAGGCCCACTGACAATCTTAACACCAGGTCATGGCAAGAATTAAGGAGCACATTGTATACTGAGAACTTAGCAGAGGGTTTGCTACCTTTTTGCACAGAATAAATGCTGGTTTTATTTTTTCATTCCTTTTTTCTTATTCTCACCTCTCTCTCCTTGGTCCTTCTCCTATTTCCTTTCAATGTCTTTTTTTGTTGTTGTTGTTGTTGTTGTTGTTTATCTTTTTGTTTTTGTTTTGTTGTTGTTGTTTCTTTGTTGTTTAAGCCGAAAAGCAAAGGTGGTGAATGCTAGATGATTCTCAAAACATCTCTCAGTATGAAGTATCTATGCTCTTGAAATTTGCTTATTACTGGGAATTTGGAATTGGCAGCAGCCTGCAAGAATAAAAACAATGCTATCCCACACCACCAAAGTTGGGCCTGAGCAGGTAAGCAGGGGCATCAAAGATGAGGAAGCAATTTCAGAATGAATGACAAAGGATGCAGTGACATGTTAGCAGCCACAGCTAAATTGAGTTTTATAGGATGAGAGAAACTTCTGGAGTCACTGCTGTCTATAATTTTCTAGATTTTAATGCATAAATTTAAAACAAATTCAACGCAGGGGGTAGGTATATCACTGGGATGCAGGAGATTCTGAAGTTTATATTGTGACAGAAGTTTCATGTTCATCTGGGCTCTTAAGAGAGTATCTTCAAAGGGTAGGTAATAAAGAAGATAAAATGGCATATTTGAATATTTCCTTGTGCCTGTAAGCTGGTCTCACCCAATAAGTCAATATCCAGTAAGAACAAACACTGTAATTCCTCAAGTGGGCGCTGCTCCACACTGTTTCCTGATATGCTCCTGAATACGTCTGAATTATGACTCTATTTCACCTCCTGACGATGGCCTCACACTTGCCCCTGGATTTGATCATTATCAATCCAATCAAAACAATTATTGTTGTTCTTTGGTTTTTCTCCCTTTATCTCAGACTGCATTGACTACAGTGATCCCAGATTATATTCCAGCCCCATTCTACCTAGGCAATGGCACCAGTCATGGCAATTGGGATTGAGAAAAGGGTTGCAGAGTCATTTTTTTTTTTTCATAGCTAAGCACCAGCATATCAAAGAAAGAGATATGAAAGGCTCCCTCTTTATTATCAGCCAGTACTCCAAAGTAACTATCATGGAAAAAACTCATTTAAAAAGAAATTTAAATTCACATAAATTAGAGCAGTGAGCTTCCTTATCACATCTGTGTGTCAGAGTTGTAAAAAGGAAGCACCTAACGAGTCAATGCATTATGGAAATATATATTTTTAAATGTTTATTTATCTTGAGAAAGAGAAAGAGAGAGAGCCAGAGAGAGGCAGAGAGAGGAGAGACAGAATCTTAATCAGGCTTCAGTCTGTCTGCTTGAAGCCCAACGTGGGCCTTAATCTCACCAATTACGAGATGATGACCTGAGCCAAGAGTGGGCCATTTAACCACTGAGACACCCAGGTGCCTCATGGAATATATTTTTAGGCAATTTGGAATTATTTCTCTCTCACCCATCCCTGATTCGTGCATCTTCTAAAGTATTGTGTTTCAATTGCCAAGGAGAGGTTTTTATATAAAAGGTGATCTTTTCTCCTGCAGATTCTAGGAAACTACACCCAGTAGGAAAAAAATAGAAATTTGGGAGAAATACCAGCTAAAATACTACCCGGCCTGGCTTCCCTCACCTCCAACAATCCCACAAAAGCTCTAGGCTTTAGCCTGAATTCCAAAGATGGATATTTTAATCTTTGCACTCTGTTAGTTGAATTACACTGACCTATGTCTCTGCCTTTGCTCTCTACTTATATACCTACAATATGACAAACACTTTGCCTTGAGCTGCTTTCTGGCCTCTGTGTGCTAGTGACCATGATCCCAATCCTTCCTCCTTTACAGTGTCTTCCGAATTCCCTCCCAGCAGAACTGTTGTCTATTTCTTTCAAATTTCATCATGTTATTATCAGATATCACATTTTTTCTTAAATTCAAACTGCCTTGTATTTGCTTATTTATTAAGTCTGTATCCTCTAAATGCGAGCTGAGAACACCTGGGATCACTTTCCTGATCCTCACCCCCCTTTCAGAGCCTTGCCCACCACTGTTAAACCTTGTACACTATAAATATGTGTTGAACTGAGGGAAACATCTCACATGGTTTCTCTCTGTTCATACTTCTGTTAGGGAAAATGAGTGATATGAGACAATATAAATACGCAATGTGCCATAGCAAAATGAGATTTCAGACAACCAATCACATATCCAGAATTCTTATGGCAAGACTCAATGACCTCTACTAGATAAGACCTGGTAAAGGAATAATAAGCAAGTCAACTGCCTTCATAATGCATTGGTTCCCTAGATCTTGTTTGTTCCTAATTGTTCTGTATTATAAAACCCTTATCTTGCTACTATCTTTCAGCCAGAAGCCCCAGCCAGTAGAAGCAGAGTGCTTTCCCAACTCTTTTTTTTTTCACAATGATACTTAAAAATTTTATTTATTTATTTTTAATTTTTATTTTTTTTTACAAATAGTTTATTGTCAAATTAGTTTCCACATAACACCCAGTGCTCTTCCCCACAAGTGCCCTCCTCCATGCCCATCCCCCCTTTCCCCCACATCCACCAGTCCTCAGTTTTGTCAGCTCTTAATAATAAAACCAGAAAGGGCTGAAGCTCTTTTATTGTGTGGCAAGGAGGCACATTAGCCAGGCTGGATGGTATTCCCTTGGTATATGAATCCCCAAAACTATGTAAACAATTTGATTTCTAGTAGAGTATTTCGTTGACTTTTGGTTACACCTATGACTCTGATGGCACCGAACCCTGCTGCTCTGTGTGCTGGGACCAGCAGCATCAGCATCACCTGGAACCTTTTTAGAGATGCAGACTCTCAGATCTAATGAATCAGAATGTGCATTTTAACAATATTCCCAAGTGACTTAAATATACCTAATATTTTAGAAAGCATGGACATCCAATATTCCAGTGGCAATATTTCACTTGCATCCTAGTGGGCTTTGCTCTAAGCCATGATTTTACTGTAAAAGTAAACTATTTGCTTCTCACACCTTCTCCTTCTCTACCCGTCCTATACATCTGTCCATTTCCTTTAATATGCAGTATAAGAAAATACAAATAATTTTTTCATGCTTTCGACTGTACACATTTCTTTCATATATATTATTCCATTTCATCCCTTTGATATCTCTGTAAACACTATCACACATAACTTGTCAAATGTTATCTTGGTAATAAATGTCTGACAACATGCATGCCAATGGTGTAAGATGCTTCCCCTGTAACCAATGAACTTCCTACCCTCAAAATTCTCTGCATTATAAATTGTACTTTAAAAATGAACTGAAACCACATATTTAACAGGGGAAAATGGATATTTAAAGTATCCCACAGAGTTTGGAAAGACTTGTTAGGGAAACAGACAAAAAAGAGGATATTAATTTCTTAATTTCTTGCTCCTCCTCTTACCCGCACAACTTCTCCTGCCCCCCACCCCCGCCGAAGTCCATGGAGCCAAGTATTTCAAATACCAGGCAGATCTTACTCTTGAATATTTTGCCCTTACCACTCCCATAACCCAGCTTATCCTATACAAAGACACTAAACATGCACACTCTTGATGAAAGCTTTTATAGCTTCCATTACATAATGGATTTTCTGTCATTTTGTTGAAATTGTGCCTGCTGAAGAAATGAGAGAGAGAGAGAGAGAGAGAGAGAGAGAGAGAGAGGAGAGAGAGAAAACAATCCCTGCTTATAAGCAATGGAGTTTTCAATGAACACAAACCGACTTGGGCGTTTCTATCCTATAATAGCAGGACTTCCTGAGCAACCTTAGTCATTCATGTGACCTGAAATTTCCAGCAATGGGTAAAACAACATAAGGCAATAGCAATAAACAAACATTTACTATAGTTTAATTAAGAAGTTGCTTGTAGTGTTAGGATATAATATAGTTAATTACCAACCATATTCAAAACCAGGTGCATTTTCAAAATCTTTAGTCCAAATCTATGCCATATACAGAGATAAGTATCTGTACATAATGTGAAATTATTATCCAGACTTTAGCCTTCCTCCAAAGGCTTGAACACTGTCATTTAGGCATATATTTATCATCATTTTTATAAGAGCTTCTTGATTATCACAAAATGTAAATCACACTGGAAGTTAGAAATCTAAAATTAAACATAAGTAGAATGTTACAATAAGAAGGAATTTTAGAGGGATCACATCAAATAGACATATCCTTCATTTCCAATGTATAGATTCACTAAGATGCCCAAAGAGGCCACACAACTTACCCCAAGGTCCACTGTTGTCTGTTACTGACTAGCTGAGTAACTCTGGGCAAGTCCCCACTCTTTCAGCCTGTTTCCTGATCTGCAAAATGAGGTGATTGCACTAGATGATGTAAGATTCCATACAGCCTGAAAATTACATTATTCTACAAGGCCACGTCCTAGAATACCCACCCTCCAAAAGCAACATACGAGAATATGACAAGATATTTAAGTGGCACTGGGGGCCACTGATGTTCCCATTTGTTGGTATTGTATCTCAGCTTGAGACTTTAGAACCACATGGGTTGCAGGTGCCCACCGCCAATGGGCAAAGTAGGAGAGAACAGGTTTGGGCATATCCTTTGCCGGAAAAGTCTTGCAACTGAAAATCAGTCCAGAATGATATTCTATCTTCTCCTCCACCTTCTGAGGATCTAGTGACTTCATCTGTCTGGGCTCTGCCTCAGAGATTTCTCCTCAAGGTTCACTGGAGCCCTGGGAGTCCAGCCCTTGACCTAACCCCAGACAAAGATGTATTTCCTCCTAGAAGACTCCTCGCCTGGACGAGTCATTCACAATCAACTTTAAAAGAGACTCTAGGCTCCAGGGAGCTGTCCATTTTGGCATCTTTTAATCAACTGTCTGGCTTTGGTCTGTAGTGAAACCTTTTTGTTTTATTACAATTTTATTCTGGTAAAAACAGAGTTGGTACTCTTAATTAAAAAAAAAAAAGTGGATTAAGCCTTTGAATGGAGATGCTGCATGATTATTGGTCATGTGTTAACTACATGTACTTACTTCCCTTCCCTCATTCTTATGTAGGGTTTTATCTTTGAAATGACTTCTATTTTTTTTTAAGTGAGTTTCCAACTTTCACTTTATCTGCTTTTCAAATTGCTATTTTCTATGGAGCAATCACGAAGCCAGGCAATGACTTAGGTTTTTAAAAGGGTATTTAAATATAATGACTCCACTAGGCAGAACCCAGGCATTATGTATGCAAAAAATGGGAACTGCCAATATCCCTACCAATTAAGTCAATCATTAAACCTGAGTTTAATTTATTTGGCTCATTTTAATGATATATACAAGTGAACCTGAAACCCCGTGTCCTATTAGTAGTCGCATATTTAAAAGAAAGCCGGTATCTATATCTAAATCATTCTATACAAAATGTGGCCAACCAGAAAAATAAGAATTCTATAAACTATGTCTAATCCAATAAATAACAATTGTGTCATTATTAGTATCATTATCATTTATTATTTACAGATTGCTTATTACGTGGTGTACACTCCTGTAAACACATGACATGATTACACAGTTTTAACTTCAAAGAAACATTCAATATTAACCCTGAAAAAAACATGTAGAGATGTGACAGAGTCAAACAATTGCCGCCAATTAGGGTTAGCTTATAAAAGGATGATCATAAACTGTTAATTGGCTATACTGGGCAAAACCAAGATTGGAAGGTAGAGGGAAACCAAGCGTGGATCAACTCCCATCTATCCAAACTGAGCAGCAGATACACCTGACTATAGGGAGTGTGTTTATACCTAAAGGTACTCAGCAGCAGGGTTCTGTGACCAGGCTCTCAGAGGTGGTCTAGAAAGGGATTCTGGCAATAGATGGAAGTAGTGGACTAAGGGTTTGCCAGTCCTAGAATTCTGGGTAAAAGTACATTGGGAGTATAAGAACACTGAGAGTATAGATGTATAAATACATGAAAAAATCAAAACATAGATGATCAATCTTAGAGAATGATACTTTGTACCTATCTCTCCTGTAGCACTCATTCTACCTTGTGTGAAATCTATGTGTAACCTTTCGTTTTCATTCCCAGCAAACTCTACGGTCACTGAATCTCCACTTACCACATACCAACCACTAAGTGCTGGAAAAGTACTCATTTCCCTCTCCTTTAATAATGGAACCTATCATACAGATTTGTCACAAAGAATACATTAGATTGTACATGGAAAGGATTTAACCTAGTGTCTAGTTTAAATAGAGCTCTTAGTTATTGTTACTACCATTATTTACTACCATTATTCTTGTAATTATTACTAAGCCACATATTAGGCCCATAATCTTGATTTTATAGTCTAATAGGTATCAATCAATGCCCATTTTTACATTCCAATAGATAAATTAAAGCAACAAGATTTTACCTGCCAAAGGGCCAACCTAAATTTACAGGGAGAGGGAAACAAACCCAAACCGCCCAAGAGCTCATCAAAGAAGCAACTCAATAAAATGTTTTCAGCATGTTTCTCTCTTAAATAGCAAGAGAATATGGACGGAGGAAAAGACCAAAAAAATGAAATATTTTATTTCAATCTGTTAAAATTATTACTGTTTACTGCTTGTTGTATGCATGACAAATAAATATGCATTTCTCTTTTTACAGTGAAAAAACTGTTATAGGCCTTTGCAATTTATTAATGTTGTCTTCAATTTTCCTATGAACTTAATATCAAATTCATTTGAATGTGGCTTCTGGAATAGCAGCACGATGGACTTTTAAATTGCATGTGTTCAAACTGGTTTAAAAGGCAAATTTCCATACTGTAATTTGCACTAATATTGTTCAAGCATTTTTAGCAATGGGGCTCTTCTTTTTAAAACATACCTTATGCCTCCCATAAACTAAGGCCTTCAAATACACATCATTGGCTACGAAAATACTTGATTCTTCATGGAAGTCCTGAAGTACCTTCCTAGAGCCTCCAAAGTAGTTAGAAAACTAGCCTTCAAATACAAACACCTTATATTATTGATGAAAAACAGTCCTCAAAAGGGAAGCATTTGATCATGTTTTACAACTAATTGGTGGCAAAACTTAGAATCCACAACTCATTCCTTCATTCATCTCATGTTTATTGAGAGCTTTCCATGTGTCCATTCTGTGGTAAGTTTCTTATATATATTATGCTTATTACTTTTAAAATTCATTCAATTTCCATTTGGCAATTATTCATTTAATATCTACTATGCACAGGAACTATGTTTGGTATAGGGTGCTAAGATAAGTGTAACTAAAAGTCATTATCTGTCACAAGTGCTTAAAAACTAGCTGGTGATGTACTGAGTACAGAGAGTAATTGGTAGCATGTAGTTAATACCATAAGAAAGCAAGATAATTTGATTAATTAATTTAGTATTCTCCTAGCCATATATAAAAAATACCCTATATCTATTAACCAACCATCAAATCTGTATGTATCATGTAGCATGTACAAAGAGCCAGGAAAAATTAGAAAAATACAAGACAAGCTAGAAATCTTTAATCTAAGAAGCTGAGATGCACAAATAAAACATTTGTTTTACAACATCAGGACACTGGTTAAGTGTTGAGTGTAATGTACCAATTTATGAATTAGAGATATTCTTTAAAAGAAGAAACTCAGTGTGGACTGACTTTAAGAATCTGAGTGGTTTCCAAAGAAGAAGTAGAATTTGACCTTAAAGAATTTGTTATTAATATGCATATTGTACTAGAAACATTGGTATATTTCACTGCACCTGGATTTCTTAACAAACAATGCTCATTGGAATGACTACATTAACAGACTTTTCTCCAATTAACAGTTTATGAACAACTAGCACAAAATTACATTATATTATCGATAGGCCCCTGAAGAGTCATTTAGCAGTTGAATAGTCCGTTCTTCGTTTGCTTTGTTTGTGACAATCCTGATTTTTTACCTGTTAACTCAGGAAGCATTTCAGAATTGACCAGGTCTTCATCAATCTTGGCATATCCTGACACCATCTAAGTCTAAGAAGACTCAATGCTGTCTCTTCCACCTTTCTTTGACTTAATTCTCACCCACATCGAAGTGCCTTCTCCCTCCTCTGAGCAATGTAATGGTCTGTACCTTTCACTTAAAAAATCTTTTAGTTTTTTTAACCTAATATTTACATGTCACTACATTATTTATAAATAAATACCTTTTTTTCTCATCTATACCAGAAGCTTAAGATAATAAAAGGCATAGCGTATATGTAAATATAATGTTCTGCTAAAGAGGCCCTTAATAGTCACTGTTGTAATTTGATAGCAAAGGAGAGGTCCCGGTGTGTTACAGATATACTCATCAATGAGTAAGTGCTGACAACCTGTAACTTGTTATTTTTGATGCTTTATTCATTTAATCCTCACTGGGGGAGAGAGAGAGAGAGAGAGAGGAAGGAAGGAAGGAAGGAAGGAAGGAAGGAAGGAAGGAAGGAAGGAAGGAAGGAAGGAAGGAAGGAAGGAAGAAAGAAAGAAAAGAAAAGAAAAGAAAGAAAGAAAAGAGAACACAAAGCACAACATATAACAGTAGTAGGATACTCATATTCAACTACCAAATATGCCAATAATTAACTGTGCCATTCTGCATTAGGGTGTCAATCTCTTATTCAGTCTTCTATTTCTCCATATGTTGCCCAATGGGCTTAGCTAAAATATTGCTGAAGATGCGTTCTTTCTGATCTTCAAATATTACAAGAGTGAACCAGGAACACACCAAATGAGAAAATCATTTTGTTCGGATTGTGTAATGGAAATATGGGGGCTGGAGGGAGGCAGAACATTCTTTAGTGTAGTTGCTCCAAAATTTTTAGTTTTTGTATCGAATCTGCCAGTAAGAAATCGACTATGCGGTGCAATAGCACAAACCTTCTGTTTCTCTCTCCCCCTCTTTTTTTCTCTCCTTCTCTCAAAAATGAAAACAGAGTTTTACCAATCAGACCTTGCAATGTGGGACGTGGTAGCTTTTCTGTTCTATCCTATCCCACCCCCATCACATCCTGTCCTATGCAACCTCATTTCGTTCCATTCCAGCCCATTTAATCTATTGCATTAAATAAACCTGCAGATTTGTTGAATAATCAAGTTGATTTTGTTACTTTCTCTGGCTACATTAGTTCAGTCACATGATGGATTTATTCAAAGGATAATTTTCCTCATTTGTAGAATATGGATAATAATATGTCTTTAGAGGGTTGTTTTTAGTATTAAATAGAATACTACTGCTAGTACTGAGCTTGGCATTGAGTGCTCAATACAGATATATTATTTTTATACATGTTATTATTTTACCTACTTTGATG